GAATGATAAAACAATAGGGGAAGGAGAGAAAGAATTATTAAATAAGGATATTACATGGTCTGAGTTGAAATCTGCAACGGAGAACTCTTTTCCAACAGTGACCACAACATCATTGACTTTTGTCTCACCATACGACCACACAAAAATCATCACAATGATGGAATCCCCAATTATAACTTCAAAAAAGGCAACTATGATCTTATAAACAACGATCTCTCATCCCTTGATAGGCAATTTCTATTCTCTGGATGCAATACTGTAGAAGACCATTACAACATATTTTTACTTGAAGTCAAAAGAGTTATCAAACTATAGGTACCATTAACAACTCCCAAAACCAGAAAAAAACAAATTGCCCATAACAATAAGAAAGCTTCAATCCAAAAAGAAGTCACTTTGGCGGAAAAACAAATCTGGTCACATTGCCAACTTCAAAAGCCAATCCAAAATTTATGCCACCGGATTAAAACTGAATGCACCAATTATCAGATTAAACAAGAAGAAAACCTTCTATGCACCAATTCCACCCATGCTTTCTACAATTTTGTAAGCAACAAACTAAAAGACTTAAGGTCCATCCCACCCCTGAAAGGACCTAATGGTAAAGACTGCAACGACAACACTATTAAAGCCAACCTCTTTAACACATTCTTTGGCTCAGTATTTGTAAACAGCAATGGATCATGCCCAGCATTTCCTAGTCAAACCATAGACAGCTACAATGACTAATACATATCGATTTTACAGAAGACAATGTTGAAAAAGCACTACACAATCTAAAACCATCTCTGTCTATTGGATTGGACTGAATATGTGCCTACTTCTTAAACAAGCTATCTACTGCCATAGCTGAACCTCTAAGCATAATCTTTGAAAAATCTTTCAGTTTTCCTTGCCAAAACTATGGTCACAAGCCATGGTCATCCCCATCTTCAAAAAGAGAGACCCCAGCCTAGTTGAAAATTATAGACCAATCTCTTTATGCTGCGTCACCTGCAAAGTCATGGAATCAATTATTAACCATCCTCCACTTAGAAACAAACAACTTACTCTCTAATAAACAATTTGGTTTCAGGAAAAAACTATCATATAATCTGCAACTCTTACACTACAAAAACATATGGACGACACAAATCAACCAGGGCAAAGCAATAGACACAATTTATAGACTTCTGTAAAGCCTTTGATTCAGTGGTACACGACAAATTACTCCTAAAACTAAAATCTTATGGTATCTCTGGACAACTGCATAACTGGATAGAAGCATTCCTGTCAAACAGACAACAAATGGTCAAAATAGGGATCAATCAAATTCTGTAACTGTCAAAAGTGGTGTCCTCCAAGGCAGTGTTCTAGAACCAACCCTCTTCATATAGAAGTGGACTATTAAGAAGTTTCACAAATAAACCCAAATATTGTATCTCTCTCTGTCTCTTTTGTTCTCCAATATTGCTTTTAGTTGCTCAATAAGTCCCAGAGTATGAAGTCCCTGAAACAGCCAAAAATTACCTAGATTGTTCAAGAGAGTTTGAGGCCAGACAGACATACAATAATGAGAAAATTCTTCCTTTGATCCCGATATCTAATCCTCCTAAAATCTCAAAATTAGCCAAAATACAACCCACCAGCATATTTTTAAGCAGCAACTTTTGGCAACTCTGCCACCCCGCAACTAGAGGCCTTTTTGCTACCAGTTTCCCATTTTTAAGTCAGATCTTAGGTGGATTCCTCTTATCCCCTGGGATGTCTCCTGTCCAGTCTTTGCCTTTTTTTCGTGTTTACTTAGGGCTGGATCTCAGGCAGATCACAGGTGGATACGTAAGAACATTACGAGATAAAGAAGATTCTTGATTCCAGTTTGCATAGAGGACAATTACAATATTTAATTCAGTGGAAGGGGTACCCTTTCTCTGAAGCCACTTGGGTAAAAAGTTGGGATGCAAAAGCAGATAGTGTTCCAACCTGGTTTCACAAAATCACAAAACACACTCCTTGTCCCAACAAAACCCCTTTTTATTAGGCTAATGTGAATTCCTATCATTCACATTGTCACTGGAGTTTGGAAGGGAGTGACCAGACTTGGCGGGAGTTCAGAATGAAGGTGGATTGGAGAATGTGACTTGAGGGTCATCAGAAAGGGTGTTGGAAGTGAGTTTAATTTGGCAGGGGGAAATGTGGGATTTCAGATTTGGGTTTTCCCAGATGTGCCAATATGGCTTTCTAATAAATTCTTACTTGGATGGACTTTGTCTTTGAGTGCTGAATTGAGATGGAGAGTTTGGTTGGAATGCTGACATCAAGCCATTCTCTGAAATGAATCCCAACATGACAAACTCTTTATATTTCTGTTATTGAATTACCTTTGTTACCTCTGGGGATATTTGGAGCAGTTTTAGAGAGAGCTTTGCCATTATAGATGCACAGTGGGTTCTAAAAAGAATCTGCAGACTGAAATGAAATGTCTTCTAAACATGGATTTTTTTTCCTAAGTGCACAATATGAAATGCACATTTTGCTAAATATCATATTAGTTTCTCCAAAGGGAAGCAAATTATTCTCTGGTGAATCCTGTAACTCTGATTATGTTATACCATAACTCATCTTTTAAAAAGAAGGGGGGAAATCATGAATTTTAGCAAAAATAAAAAATATTATGTATTCTATTTTGCTGCTTTTTAGCAGTCTGAACTAAAATCATAGGCCAATGCAAAGCTGAAGTTATGTCCCTATTTTTATATTTGGTAACATGATTATTCAGAAGTTGGAGCGTAATTTATATTAGACGAAAGGAAAAGTTAACAATATTTTTTTTCTCCCTCTGAGTAAAAATCTACAAAAATGTCAGTGGTGCAAACCAACATAGATTTACAGAAATTCCTATCTAAAGTCTATTGGGATTAATTTCTACTGAATGAACACAGTGGGTCCATAGAAATATCTGGATATCTGGGTTTATAAAGAGATATGTTAAAAGTTGTGAAGAATTTTGTGGGAAGGGACAAAGAAAAAAATGACAAGAAATCAAATTCCAAGACTTTAGCTGAAAGGATTTAAAGATCAAGGTTATTAAAAGTAAAGGAAGGAATATAAAGTTGGTTTATCTGATCAAAGCTAAAATAAATATGTTGTTATCTCTTGTAACCCTTAATAGATTTTTGCTGGCCAGGACTGAATTATGAGGCTTTAAACATTTGCATATATGAGATGAGATATGGGGAAAAAAGAGATCACAAATTCCAGAGGTTAAGGACACAGAATTATTTATTTTAAGCAAGATGCCACAACTTCTTACACATTATCATGTACATCCCCTGAACCTAACATGATAATGAACTCGAAATAAGGCTTGGATAATTTTTCATTACTTTTCTTAAATTGTTTCAGGAAATAGAAATCATGGTAATCTTGCACATAAGATAATCACATGGTGGGGTGTAGAACTGAAATTGTTGGTTTTTCTTTCATGGGTCAGTGGACACAGATAATCCAAATTTGTATTTTACTTTAGATTATGAGGCATCCTGACTGCTTTGGGAATAGAATGCCAGCATATGGTTGTTGGAGACAATATGCTAATTCTGTAAACCACTTAGAGAAGGCTGTAAAGCACTGTGAAACAGTATATAAGTTTAAGTGCTACTGCTATTTAAATCAATGTCATAATATTAGTAGGGTTAATATTACCATTAATATTAATGGTAATAATTCTGCCCCTCAGAATTGCCTTTTTACTGCTAGATTTTTCAAATTGACATAAGTTATTCAGTCAACCATTTATACATATGGCTCAATGGCAGAATGAATACCCAATCACTGGTATCCCTACTTTAATGTGATCTTGTAGATTAGAAAAGTCTTGTGTCTGAAATCCTGGTGTCCAGCTGCCAGTCAGAATAGGCACTATTAGGACAGAAAGGCAGTAGCCTAATCTGATCAGAATTATATGTGTAGGATGTTTGTTGCATAAAAATCAATAGGAAATGCAGGTGGGGATTACACTAAAATGTATGGCAGGAAGTTGAGAAAGTCTTCATCTTCCTATTAGATTGAGTGAGAAAATAGTAATCCACAAGAGTTACTGTTCTAGAACAGATTTCATTTATTTCAGCCAGTTTGTCTTTTTAAATGATGAGGATTTGGAGCTGATATTCTCCCCTTAACTAACCAGGTCCTATTGCTAGATCCTTACCAATGCTACAAGATATATGGCAAAAATAGTTCAAGCAAGCATTTCTGTAAATATCTTTATTGTGAGAGTGGAGCCTAGATCTGCATTTTTTATTCTATTGTGTTCTATTCATGCAAAGTCTTTGCTTAATATGCATTTGTTTAGTAACCACTCTGTTATGACGGGTTAAACAAAGAGATTGATAACCAATAGTATTGACTGCTGCAGTACCCCATAGTCACATGAACAAACTTGGGCTCACTCACTGCCATTTGGTCCTATCTATCTGATCCTGCTTGCCAATGTGCCCACTACACCATATGCTAGTACTATACCACCTGGAACCTTATTTCTCACTGCATTCTTTTGCATATCAGTAAAGCCATGGGATCTCTCACAGGCCATCTCTAGTCACACTTAAGCATGAAAAGCCAGCTGATTATCTTTGAGTCAATCATTCTGTCTCATTCCAGCTTATCTCAGAGTTTTTGTTGTGGGGAAAAATAGGAGGAGGAAGAAGCATTAAATATGTTTACCATCTCGAATTATTCATAAAAATAATAAAGATTGGGTTAAAATCTTTTTTAAAAAATTAAATAATCATTTACATATATGTAATTCTGTTTTCTCATATGTCTGCGATACAATTATTTGCAGTTAAAATAAGTTTTTCCAGACTCACTTTATCATATGAAAAAATGAAACAGATTCCACTCACTTAGAACAAGCATTAAAGTTTTTTGGGAAGGGAAGTTGAATCTCATTTGAATGTATATCCAATGTCATTTGATGAGCATATGGAAACTATTGATTGTATCTGTGCCTTTGACAGGGACAAATGCTAAACATGGATTACGCTGTAAGGCATGCAAACTGAGCATTCACCACAAATGTGCAGAGAGCACTGGACAGCAACGGTGCATGGGAAAATTGGTAAGCCAATATAATTATTGAATAAACCTGCAAATAAGGCTCAGTAAGAGATGTTGGTCCAACGGATCCCTCCAAACTTCTTGATTTAGCTGAGTTAAAGAAATATACTTGCATTACTACAAGGTTATAGAAATCATTCCCTGTCTCTTTATGTTTGTGTAGCAGGTGCCTATAGGCAAAGATAATACTGTGTGTTTTTATTTTGTACATTCTTCTTTCTACAAGGACTGTATTGCTGATTTCTACAATCTTCTGGTCCTTCTTACTGTGCCTTTGCCTATTTCCATCCTTTCCTTAGTTTACAAGCAATGGCAAGACTGAATAAGTGAAGCAGTATGCTGTTCTTGTCTTATACTCTGATTTTCGATAGTTTGCAGATTTCCAAATCCATAAATTTGTCAAAACACAAGTAAGTGGGTAATAATAGGGCCACCTAAATTCTGGACTGTGCTCTAAGTTCAAGCAGAAAAGCAAATTTGGTTTCCTGGTTTCTTTCTGAATCAGAACAAAAGTCCTATTAGTTCCTGTCCAGGAAGGCTCCATCTCAGACTTACCTTGCAATACTTTAATGTGCAGATGCCATTGGTATTAGTTTAATGGTTCTATTCAAATATTTATTTTGCAATGTAAACCTGTAGTTATGTACATTTTGATAATTAAGAATTTCTGAGTCTTTCTGAATTTCTAAAAAATTCTGAATTACCATATTTTTTGCACTATAAGACACTCTGGATTATAAGACGCATATTAGCTTTAGAGGAGGAAAACAAGCAAAAAAAACCTGCCTCCCAGCATCCATCCAATACACATTATCGCAGCCCCAGCATGTGACTCATCAGGGCTCCACTCCATTGCACCCACCATCAGTCAATTGAGCTGAGCTGCTGCCGCTGCTGGGGAGCACTGGAACTTTCTCTGCCAAGTGGCTGATTGGCAGTTGAATCGACCTCTTGGAATACCATGATCAGCCGTTCTAGGCGGTGGGGATCACCACTGCCACTGCTGGCCATTCTCCGCCACCTGTTCGCTGCCTGCTCATTCGCAGCTGCCCATTCTCTACCTGCCCATTCACTGCGGCCTGCTTGCTGCCGGCCCATTTGCCACAGCCTGTTTGCCGCCAATTGCTATGACCCATTTGCCAATTGCTATGACTCATTCACTGCCGCCTATCAGTGGTGAATGGATGGCAGCAAACAGGCAGCAGTGAATGGGCAGAGACAAAAGGGCGGGCAGCAAACAGGCAGGTGGAAGGTTCCAGTATTCCCCAGAGGTGGTACACCAACTCGCCTTGGCCCGCTGCAATAGTCACACTATAAGTCGCACAGACATTTCCACCCACTTTTGGGGGAGGAAGTGTGTCTTAGAGTGTGAAAAGTATGGTATTTTTTCTCAGAGTTACTTAATAAATCCAAAGAGCATTTTCACGACTGGGGGGAAAGTGCAGCTGCTGTTAGAGCAAGTGCTAAGTGAATGAGCTCTGAAATGCCTTTTTGCCTTCAAATTTAAATGTGTGCATCTATTGCCTCTAGTTCTCCTAGTATCATATCTTCATTTCCTTTCTCTTTCTTTCTAGCCCAAAGGTTTCCATCGTTACTACAGCAGTCCCCTTCTCATTCAGGAGCAGTTTGGCTGCATCAAAGAAGTAATGCCAATTGGTAAACTCTGATTAATTTTCTGATTTTTATAAGTTTCTGTGCTATGAACCTTGATGTTCAGTGGCCGATATAAACCTTTATATGTTTTCATTGATGACATTCATTTTCCTTCCTGGAGTTGTCCAAATCTTGTTGAGGAGGAAAATTTCAACAAAGGAAAAAACACACAAATGTTCCAAAAAGTTCATAAACCTGAAAATTCCCATGCCAAGGCACAAAGTTTGAGGACTGTTAACAGCATAAACATGATATGATTTCAAGGTTTTTTCTTTAAAAGTCACAGGAATGAGATTCTAATGAGGAATGGAGGTTTTACAGTCAGACCATAATTAAATATAATTGCATTTGATTAGTTAGTTTAGACAGCTGAAAGTAAATAAATAAGTAGCAGGAGATGAATTGCCCATATCTAACAAAAATAAAAGCATTTAGGCAACTACAATGTACCCAAGTAGCTACCTGGATGAATTATAATGTAAATTATAATGTAAATGTAAAGCCCAGGCAGCAAAAATCTCAGACAAACCAGCAACTAAAACTGAGAAGTCCGAGTGCATTCACTCAGCATGGGGGACAACCAGCAAATATCAGGGAGAGGGGGAGCTTAGCAAACTCTCTGAAGACAAGGAAGAAATACATAGAGTAAAACCAGATAGAAGATCAGGGCCCCAAGGGACAAGCCAGAGACCCCTGTGTTGTGCAGGCTGCAAAGGAAACCACCCCTGGGAGGTTTGCAAATTCAGGGATGCAATCTGCCACCGATGTGAGAAAAGGGGGCATACTGCTGAAGCATGCAGAGCAAATCTGCCAGCATACCCCAATCAGAGACAAGCAGGTTTCCCTAATCAGCCACATGGTCCACAACAAAGGGGATTCCAGAGACCACCCAATTCAAACTACAGGCGGGAAGATAATAGAATGGAGAGGGACAGAGACTATGAGCACACAATAGTGGGGCATTCTGACCCCCATACATCAAAGAAATTCAACATCACAGTGATAATAGAAGAAAAACCTTGTAATATGAAAATTGACTCTGGATCCTTTATATCTATGGTGTCCTGGACAACTATAAAGGAAGAAATCCCTGGCATAACTTGAGAACAACTAAAACCACAACATTTAATACTAAAAGTCTACCAAGGAAACACAATTCCCATATTAGGAAGAGGAATTTTTCCAGTAAAATTCAGAAACTTCACTGGTGAATTGACTTTAACTATCTTGGACAAAGAAGTACCAAGCCTCCTCGGGATAGAGTGGTTTAGAGCCATAGGAGTGGAGGTGACCACCCAGACCATGCAAGCAGAGGAGTACAATCAAATGAAAGAGGACCTACAGACTGAATTCAAGGATGTTTTCGATGGAAGCCTAGGCAAGTACAGTATATGGGGACCCCTACTTCTTTCAACCTTGATCCAAAAGTTTCCCCTGTCAGAATAAAACCAAGGCCTTTTGCCCTGAGACCCAAGGTGGATGAACAATTAGATAAACTAATAGCCCAAGGAGTCCTAGAGCCAGTTGATCATGCTAAGGGGGAGACCCCTATAGTCACCCCAGTTAAACCAGATGGGTCCATTAGGATCTGTGCTGAGTATAAAATTTCCATAAATACTGCATTGCAACAGAGCGCATACCCAGTGTCAGTAGTACAACATCTGTTGCATTCAATAGGAAAAGGGAAATATTTTTGCCAAATTAGACTTGGCTCAAGCCTATCAGCAGTTACCTGTGGATGAAGAAACAGCAGAAGCTCAGACCATTGTAATCCACAGGGGTGCTTTCAAATGCAAAAGACTGCAATTTGGGGTCAGCATAGCCCCAGGACTATTTCAAAGCTTAATGGAATGCCTACTACAGGGCATTGTGGGGGTGGTACCTTATTTTGATGATGTCCTCGTGGCAGCAGAGAACAAAGAACAACTTAAACAACTTAAAATCAAAAAAAGAGAAATTCCACATAGCACTATCAAGTGTTGAATTTCTGGGATATCTAATTGATGAGTCAGGTATACACTCCACAGATAGTAAAATAAAAGCAATTAAGGAAGCTCCCACTCTGGGGAGGGGTGGTGAGGCAAGGATGAACAGAGGTGTAGAAGTCTGCTCATGGTTCTCACCTCTTCTTGCTGTTGGTGCGATCCCTCGGGGTGCACAAATCCCAGAGAGAAGTGTGCTGGTGTGGGGAAACTCGAGCTGCAGTGAGGGGAAGACAACTCCCATTGCAGCGAAGCGAAACCCTCCAGAGCACAACGAGCAAGAGACCACTGTTTTGTTAATGGCGGCCCTGAAGTCCGGTCTGCCACCGATGAAAGGAAGCAAGTGAGTGACAGATTATGGTGGTCAATGGTGAAAGGTGCGGGCGAGGAAGTTTGCGATAGTGATAGAGTTCTGAGTGCTGTGGATCCACAGAAAGTTGCTGAAAGAATCTGATCGGAGCCCTAAAAGAAGGCGACTAAGGAACGGAGGTGAGGTGGGTGAAAATGAAAGAGCTTGACAGATAGAAAATAAGGACAGTAACAAATAAAGCAAAGAAGACTGGGAGGTTGGCAAGGTTTGCTACATTGTTATTAATGGAAGGAAATTTAGCCGTTGGAAGGTCTAGGGGACTTGGATTACTTTCTTTTTGAAAGACTGCATTAAATTCGAGACGAGAAGATCGGAGCAAGTGAAATAAGCGGAGATAATGCAGTGCAAAAGGAGATACCTAGAAACTTTTCAGAAACTTTGAAAAATCCTTTGGCCGCTGATCCAATGGTGCATCAGTCCAACTGAATAGTCTGCCTCAATTGAAGAAATATAGAAAAACTGAATTTAAGAACCCCTAGACGAAAAGAGAACTGGATATAACTGAGTGAGCTGAGATTTTGAAAGGACATTGTTATTACTCAGCAATTTTCTATTTCTGGCTATTTGGATTACAAGCATGTAACTTCAGAGATTGAAAGTTGAACAGTTACTTTAAGATTCTTTCCCCTTTCTCTATTTTTCCAATCATTTTCTGGTGTTTTGATTAGTTAACGCTTCTCTCTCAATTTTTTTTACAGTGTTATTTAAGTATATACGTGTGTGTGTGTGTGTGTGTGT